TGTCCAGTATTTGCCAGTATTGACCACTTGAGGAGTATTGACCGGGGCGGTAAATACCGGTAAATACCACTGGTAAATACCGGGGGTGGTATTTACCGCCCAACCTTGCCGAAATGACCTTGTGTAAACCGGAAGTAGCTATTTTTGTACTTATTTAATGTAAAAGTATATAGAACCATATATTTTTGGAATCAGTGTCAAGTAAACTATCAAATAATACTGGAAGTGACATTTTTTCAGACCAGAAGTAACAAATTATAACCCTTACTTCAAACAAAAGTGTATAGAAACCATATATTTTTGAAATCAGCATACAATAAGCTATCATTTGACATTGGAAATGACATTGTTAACTGAATTTTAATATTTTCGTATCAAAATATACTGTTTCAGGTGGAAAGACCTTCAGAGAACAATTGGTTTTTAATTATTTTTTACATCTTACGCCACATTTTTGTCTTGCGGTGTATAGTGGTTTCGCAAGATGTTGCTTAGATTTTTTGAATATATGATATTGAACAGTTATTGCGCTTTTGAAACTGACCCTGTTTATCTGAACATTTTTTATTGCAAGATTTATCTCTCCAAAAATTTTTTTCTTGTTTGCGCATCTCCTTCGCAATAGTGAAAGATTATGACAAAATTATTTCACCAAAATACTTGTTATATTCTCAGGATCCTAAGAATAATTTTAATCGAAGCAGTCCAGAGACTCCATATGAGAGTTATTTCCCTTTCTGTATTTAAAATAAGTGAAATGTAATTGTAACTGGTGAACCATAAGTGATAGAGACCTAGAGTCTTTTGAATTGAGGTCCTTGGTCCACCAAAAAGAAAATGGGGTCAAGTTCAAAGGTCAAGGCCAAATCCTAAATTTTTATTTTGGCTTAATATTGCTTCTTTTCAGAAACCGTGTAAGATAGTGACAAAATATTTTTACTAAACTGATATTTGTGACATGTCTTAACATGCATATTTTGGTTAAAAGGGTGTGTTGACATTTGATGGGAGTTTCCTCCCCTCTAATACTAAAAGCATTATTGGGATAGAACTCATTTCCCTTACATAGTGGAGACTAAGGGTAATTTGATTTGAGGTCCTTGCTTTATGACCTTGAAATTTAGTTCAAGGTCAAAGGTAAAATTGACGTTCTAGATTTTGACCTTTGTGTAGATTCATATGTATACATGATAAAGCCTTGGGATCTTTTGCATTAGGTTAGTAGACATAATTATGACCTTGAAAATGTCAACCAGAGGTGACCTTTTTTAAACCAGAAGTAGCAATTTATCTCCCTTATTTAAAACAAAAGTATACAGAAATTATATATATTTTGAATCAGAGTAAAGTAAGCTATTATTTGACACTGGAAGTGACTTTGATTTAACAGGAAGTGGCTTATTATCTCTCTTAATTGATGAAAAAAGTGCCTCAAACATCGTTTTTTTCAAAATCAGTGTGTGATAAGCTATCATTTTAGCTCACACATACATGTACTGTTAAAATTCTCTCATCTTAAGTAAATTTGAGTGGAAAAACCTTCAATGGTTCTCTGAACAATTGTTTTTTTATTATTATTATTATTTTTTTTTTTCCGCTAAACTTTAATGACATTTCCCCCCAAAAAATTGTGACATGTTGAAATAATATTAGGTATCAAGTATCAGTTGACCAAAAAAACCATCTTGTGATTAGGGCACTGTACCGTAACTATTTCTTTATAACGGTTATCTCCCCTAACACTGAAAACCTTGGTACCTTGAATGACCGAATAACACCGTTATTATCCAAATAACACTTGTAATGACCGAATAACACTTGAAATTTTAATATTAGCACATATTGGTGACTTTTAAACATTGATTAATAAATAATAGTATATTATAAATGTATTTTATAACTTAAAAATGATTTACAAAAAGCAGGTAAGTTCAAAAAGATTATTTTAAATATAGTGTGTACATCCAACATGGCGACCAAGGAAATCACAATGGTCACCATGTTGGATGTACACACTAAATTTAAAATATCTTTATGAACTTACCTGCCTTCTGTAAATCATTTTTAAGTTATAAAATACACTTATAATATTATTTAATGATCAATGTTTAAAAGTCACCAATATGTACTAATATTAAAATTTCAAGTGTTATTCGGTCATTACAAGTGTTATTTGGATAATAACGCAGCCTTCATGATAAACTTTTGAGTCCACAAGCCCAGGGCTCAATTTTATGAAAACTTTAGTTGGTTTCCATTGGCTTGTATAGAAGAATTTTACAAGCCCCCGAGCAATTTTACAAGCCATGGCCGTAGGACTTATGGTTAAGCGTAAAGACTGATAACGGTGTTATTCCGTCATTCGTGTTACCCCCGAAAACCTTGTTATCGCTTTATCTCAAAAATACAGATATCGACAATGTTTTATCTAATTGTCCCTTGGGACATGGCGCAACTTAAAGTCTAAATTATCTGTTGACTTATGATAGGAGTTATCTCCCCTTAAATATTTGACGTAGGTAGTGTGTTGCTAAATGTGATATTCTGTTAGTCATTTAGGCCTAGGACCTTTTGATTTGAGGTCCTTGATACATGACCTTAAAATTGATGTCAAGTTCAAAGGTCAATGTCATTAGTGGTCATCTAGACACAATTGCTCAATTGTTCACAATGCATTTTCAATAGGGTATATTGTCTGTTTGAAACCTGATAATTAAAAAAAGTGTAAAATTCTGAATATATTCTGAAATTAAAGTAAACTCATCATCTGCTGAAAGAACATAAACATTTATTTCAATGAAAAAAAATCAGCATTCTTAGGCTTAAATTAAAATATTGTTTGTTTGCAGTTTACCGACCGACCCTCTAAAATCCGCCCGACTGTGAAAATTTTATTGCTTTTAATTTGAAGAAATTATTTTTATTTTTCTATTGACGCAATCCGGAACTTCTGGTCGTTTCCAGAATTGATTTAAAGTCTGAGTCGATTACACGTTTCAAGTTCAGTTTTTCTTACCTTCTTGTCAAGCTTCCATGGGACCGTTTAATAATAAAGCACATGGAGATTGTTTACAGGTATTGATGAAGACATGGAGGAGTACTTTGCGCTGTCGTTTTCTGTCAATTTTAAAACAAATAACAACCAAAAAAGTTAAATAGTAAACTGTTTATAAAGATTCAGACAGATATCATTGACGATTTGAGAACGCATGATGCAGCGGATATTCATAAAACCGACACGATAACTGTTTCCATCTCAAACAGATCGGGTACAGAATCTCTTGAGCCTGACTTTATGGAACCAATATCAGTGGTTAAACAATTTGACAGCAGCCTGAAGTATGCCATAGTTTCTATAAAACATTGTGAAGACAACAAGGATGAAACCACTTCTCCATGACTTCATGGATACCTGTAAACACGCCAGGAAGGGCGCATTTGAAATTTATAATCGATAGACAATGCCAAATCTATAAGAAGCCACAGAAACTACACAAAGATGTAAAGAAAATGAATGGTTGGCTTGTAGAAATAAACATTCTTTCTCTATGTTAAATCTATCTTCTATTGCAATGAGTATGCTCCTTTAGGATAAGGGGAGTTACCCCACTCATTGCAATTCTTCTCCCTCTTACAATATTAAATATACCCAAACAGTGTGGCTTGTGTGAATTGAATTAAAACATGTCCTTAGGAGCTATGCTGCCAATTTTTTATGCAGTCAAAACATTTCAGTACAGACCATTTACTTTTAAAGGGGTGCTATTGATTTCACCCTGAAGTCTAAGATTTTTTTTGGTTTTAATTATAGCCTGATCACATCAACATATCTTTCAAAATATAACCTTATTACATATAATTAAATATTGTTAGATTTATGAAAACAGTCAGATGTCAAATATATTTTTTCAAGTTTCCTTTTTTTTTTAATTGAGAAAGATTCAATGGTTAATTTTTTTTATCGATAACACTCTTACATTGTCTTATGAATCTTTGATATCTAATGAAAATACTCTACTCATGTAAACTTTCTAGTAAAGAAGCATAATTGTCAGTGGACAATTTCTTTAAAACAATTCTAGTCATTCCTTGTTTATAAGATCTTATAAGTGTTCCAGTACTAGTATTTAATAATGTCATAAATTGGATAATCACACCATGTTATAGTTTCAATTTTGGTTGAAAAGTTTTTATCTGAAAATGCCTGTTCATTTCATGTTGGTTTTCAGTTTGTTTTAAAAAAAATTTCTTTACAAGAAACTTGGTTTGTGTAACTGCTTGTTTAAACTTCATTTTGGCTGATAAAATAAAATATTTTTCCTACCTACCGACCCTTCAGTCTGAAGGTACAGTCGGAAAACTGCAAACAAACATATTTTTAAGGTTGGCCTTATGCACTGGAAATATCCTTGCCAAGCAATTGTTATGGACGCTCTCAAATTCTGCACTAAATGACACAGCATAATTGTCAGTCAGCCTATTGAAATAAAATGTCATAGAAACTTCATACCTGCCAACTGTCACTATTTGTGGGGGATTTCCCCCATGGAGGTTCCCAATTGGTAATTTTGAAAGAGCAATTTTGTCCACAATTTAAAACAAAACAATCAATTTTACCATGGGAATAGGATTGTAAAAGTATGAAGAAGCAACTGAACAACATTAAAATAAATTTGAAGGCCCTTTTAAAGGTTTTGTAGGACTATGAGAGCCATCTTGCACATAAAACCCCCATGGGCATTTTGAAATGTTGGCAGGTATGAAACTTTCAAATGTATCACTCTAAATTATAGTCATTTTGGCACATACTTCTTCTTCTTCTTCTTCTACTTCTACCAATACGCGGCCACCATCAATAAGTTGATTATTTTGCCACTTTTTGGATGCGCATTTAAAATTTAGACAAAAATAATATTGAATTGATTTGAATTGTGCTATACATCATTATACAGTGAATTTAATGGTTGATCTTTCATAAAATCTATCAATTTGAAACATACCATAAAATCACGAGCCTCACATAGTTTTACTTGTAACATCTTCAAAAACCTTCTCGGCGAAATGTAAACAAATGGGGACCAATGGTGTAGGGGAGTGTAACGTGATTTTAGAATTAGTCATAGATATACCTCTAAATTCCTCCTATCAAGGGACAACACCAGTATGTTGGTTCGACAAGTGTATGACAGTATATTTTAAGAAAAACATATGGAAGGAAAGACCTTTCAATTCTTCGTGAACAATTTACCTTTAATATGTATCAATTATTGCACTTTGCTCACAATTGAAATGCCCAGTTTCAAGCTGCTATTAAAAGTGACAGAACTTGCATTCTATTGTGTATCTATCCGAACACCTGATCTCCAACAATGGGGACAGTTGCCCTTTAAATTCTATGTTAAATCTAACAATAGAAATTGGTTCATTGAGGCATAATGAGTGGAATTTACATGATCAATACCGCTTTCAGTAGATATAATATTAAAATTTTCAGTCACTTTATCAGGAAACTAGGCATGTGTACATTAAATTAAGTACATCAATTGGTGCATTTAATGATGCCGGTTACTGTCATCAAGGATTTGTATAGTAATCTTACTGTACAAATCCTTGCTGTCACAGTATAAAGTAGAAAATGCGCTTTTGTCATGGTCTGCTTTAATCCTGCAGTCTAGACAAATATATCCTTCTATCCTCTATAGAAAGGTAACCACTCTATACAGGGATTATCACCATATAACGGGTTTGGTCCCAACCTGACCAACGGTAGCACAAACATATGATGTGACGAATGACGATAAAAACGTAGGCTCAATTGACGAAGACTGAGGGGCGTGAAGATAAAGACCTCCTCCGAGAAGAAAAAACCTCCTTGATTCCCTGGGAATTTCATCAGCAAATTACGTTTGACGATGTCAGATTTCCCGAGAAAAAGAGGTTTTCAAAGGAACAAGTATGGAAAAAACGTAGCAACAATTTAACCCTCGTTTCCTTTTAGAACAAAACTAACGAATGAGACTTATGTGCAATTAGCAACACGACGATGTCATGTGGGTCCGTGTAACACTTATCAATTCAAAATTTTAAAAAGTTTTCAAATTTTATTTTTTTGGAATTTTTATCAAAGTTTTAAAATATCAAAATTCCAAATTTTTAGAAATTTTAGAAATTTTAAGATTTTCACCAAATAATTAAAATATTAAAACTCTAAAAATCATTTTAAAATTCGATTGTTTAGATATTTGATCAAACTTTAAAAGTACTAAACTTAACGTGCAAATTTGATTATTTCGCTTTTGAAAGTTTGATTTTTTTAATTTTTGATTAAGATATTAAAATAGAAAACGGGTGAAAAGAGGGGAACCTGTAAAGTGCGAAACGGAAAAAAAGCGGAACGAAACGAACGAATTAACAAAAAGAAAAGAAACGAAATGTAAGCGGTGGACAATTTAATAACAAAATAAATATTTCTCAAAAGCAGAGAATTCATTTAAAAACAAGAAACACGGCTCTGATTATGACCATTCTTAGTCAGGAATAAAAAAGCACGAAATGTATCAAATCATTTTTAATTGCAAAAAAATAATTAAAGAAAGAAGTCGTTTTTCTCTAACCCGAATAATTCAGTCGTTATATTCCGTTGATCTACGATTACTTCATTAACCTCGCAAGTAGGAGAGATCGATTACGGGGAGGGACTGAATTATTCGGGTTAGTTTTTCTCTTAACAAATTGGACATCATACGAAATAACAGTATCCACGTGGACCGTGAAATTGGGGTAAAAACTCTAATTTGGCATTAAAATTAGAAAGATCATATCGTAGGGAACATGTGTACTAAGTTTCAAGTTGATTGGACTTTAACTTCATCAAAAACTACCTTGACCAAAAACTTTAATTTACAAACTTTAACCTGAAAAGGGACAGACGGACGAACGGACGGACGAACAAACGGACGCACAGACCGAAAAACATAATGCCCATAAATGGGGCATAAAAATGTTTTTTTATTTCAATAGATGCAAAACCTTAAAAATTTCAGGATACTGTTATTTCATGTGATGTCCAATTTGTTAAGAGAAAAACGACTTCTTTTTTTAATTATTTTTTTTGCAATTAAAAATGATTTGATACATTTCGCTTTTGAGAAATATTTATTTTGTTATTAAATTGTTCACTGCTTACAACTGCCTCTTGTTTTATTTTATACATTAACTTTTAAGTAACAGTAACTGTTCATTTCATTTCGTTTTTTTTTTTTTTTTTGTTTCGTTCGTTTCGTTCCGCTTTTCTTCCGTTTCGCACTTTACAGGTACCCCTCTTTTCACCCGTTTTCTATTTTAATATCTTAATCAAAAATTAAAAAATCAAACTTTCAAAAAGCGAAATAATCAAATTTGCACGTTTAGTTTAGTACTTTTAAAGATTGATCAAATATCTAAACTATCAAATTTTTAAATGATTTTTAGGGTTTTAATTATTTGGTGAAAATCTTAAAATTTCTAAAATTTCAAAAAATTTGGAATTTTGATATTTTAAAACTTTGATCAAAATTCCAAAAAACAAAAATTTGAAAACTTTTTAAAATTTTGAATTGATAAGTGTTACACGGACCCATGTGGAGCGGGTGATACACATTGTTTGTCTTTTAATCGTCTTTCATTAATTATTTGTTTATCATTGTGTTGTCGGGTTTTTCTAAAACTTATGATTTTTAATTGTCTCTTTGGTATCTTCTGTCTTTTTTGTATTTTCTTTGTCAAAAATGATATATATATACATTACAAGATAGCAGATCATGTAAAGTTAAGGATTAAAAAAACTATCCTTATATTAAAAACCTAAGTTTGGTTTAAAGAAAATATTATTTTTATTTTTAAATATAAAACATATTTTAAATTGATCAAACATAATATTCTCATGCCTTCAAAACATTCTTTGTTTGTGTGATTCGAAGGAATAATTATAATTTCTTCTCCTTAATGAACGTTTTTGGATCCGTCACATTGTACGCGCACATAATGATTTCTCTAGAAAACAATATAAGTTGCAGTTTCTATATGGAAAATTGAAAATAACTATTCCGGCATCTTACAACTGTTTTATTAATGAACTCATCTGTTAACAATGCTAGATCTTCCCCCCCCCCCCCCCCCCCCCCAGAAAATTCGAAACAATAGATATTTCCGCAAACACTATTGTTCCTGGTCAGTTTCACAATGAAACTGACCGACTGATGTTGGGTTTTATTGTCTGGCTATCTTGATAGATATTGCGGACTACAATAACCTATGCTGTTCTTTTCCCTTTCATCTTGCTCCGACCTGGTGGTTGAGGTTGGTACGGAGCGTCTGGCCGTTCTTGTAAGGCAAAGGCAGTTTGAATGGCCTCTGGATCTGGCATGGATATTGGCGAGGTATGTGATGGTGTGCGAAGTAGGTCGGGGCCATCGATGTCAAAATCCTCTGTGAAGTCTATCCTACAACGTGTACTTCTAGGTGTGGATGGAGTATAGAAGTAACGGCGATGGCATGCCTTCTGGGAGATGTACGGTCTAGTAACAATGTCCGTCTTGATGTTGACTCCCTCTGGTTCTCCACGATATTTTGTTGGTGTAAATGGTATACCAATAACTGTATCCCTGGTCGCGTCTGACAGATGTTATCTACGCTTGTATTGATGGTAGTTACAGGGGTAGCAGCGGAAGCAACGGCTTTTTTGGAGTCTATCCACTGGGTGAAACGCTCGGCATTTCGTCTCCTGGTAGATGGAGTCTTGTGTTTCTTTTGCAGGGCCGGCTTAGGGTTCCTGGATGTAGTGTCTTGGTCCTTGACCTTGATTCAGGTGAGCTGTAACCTGGTTAGAACTAGCAGTAAATTTCCACTCGGTTTCTTTTCCTTCTAACTTCATGGTGGCTAAAAGCGCTTTCAAATCATTCGGTAATTCCATAATAATTGTTCACGAGGTTGACGGTTCAGAATACAGCTCAATGAAACTTTTCATTTAGAAATTGTATTACTATATATCCATACTCGCATAAGCTATAAGTTTCCTGAGGAAATCAATTTTATACTATTTCCTGGGAAATTGATTGACGATAATTTCAGTCAGCTCTAATGACTTAGAAAATTAAAAAAAAAAAGCAACAAAACTGTTCGCTTGAAGGAGAGACGGTTTTAAATGCGAAAACTGAAAACTTATTGCATATCACATACTTGTGCCAAATATGTTATTGACATATTGCAAAAATAAAAAAAAAATAAAAAAAATAGCGGAAACAAAATTTATTATAAGAACAAAACCAAAAGTTCTCATCAAAGAAAGGTTAGAAGACCTAATCGACGCTAGTTCAGATTAATGACCATAGACAGAGCGCGTGGTGTTTAATAATGTATATCTAAATGACAATAAAGGGTAAGGCAGTTTATGTTTCGTCCAATCGCAAATTATCTCATAATTGAATGTTGATGAACATTCATACATGTATAAATGCATTGTTTATCATATTTTCACTAATTGTCATTTGACAGATGTTCTGACCATGGAAGTATTATATTGACAGGAACTCCAACAACCTGATTTCAAACGTTTATAGTGCGATGCCGCAAAATCGTTAAGTATCTGTTAATTAACTAGACATATGTAAAGTTTTTGAGTTATCCTTCTTTGAGTGTTACCTGGATTTAAATCTTAGTGATTTATAAATAGAACAAAAGTAATCAAGTTTGACATGTTTGACAAACAGGTAATGTGAAGGTGAAAAACTTGTTAGGCAGGTTAATTTAGAAACACTAGTCTTGAGATAGGGTGTTGTCAGTAAAACACCTGGACAGTGTTGAAGTCAGATGTTGAGAACTGATTGGAACTTGGAGTTGGAGTTTGACTATTGTCAGGGCAGATATTATATCAGGAATGATCAGTTCAGGAGAATTCATTAATATTTTGTCCATCAGGACAATAAAGAACTCCCAGGTAGGTTTTGTCACACAAACACACTATGCCCCGCCCTTATGTCTCTTGTTTCAAATATTCGCACGAGATATCAAATTTTGTTTGTCATATTGTAATTGTGGCGTGCACGGTTGTCAAATAATTATATTTTGGCGGTTTTATTCGGGATTAAATAGGTCCGTTACTTAAAATTTTGTTTTGTTTCTTTCCCAGGGAACTTGTTGAGTTATGGAAGTATTTTAGACCATTAAAAGAAATGAGTGATAAGTAAAATGAGACAATTTCCTATATATAAAGTTGAATCTCAGATGAGGGTATACTGTGTGTATTGTTAACATTTGATAGTTTAAATGGAACAGATAGTTTTCAAGTAATAAGTATTACAACAACCTAAATGTCTGTGAGGTAAAATAGTCCGTCAGTGAATTCGTTTCGGGACAATTACAATTTAAAAGATAGCAGAAACTTGTTTGACAGTTTGTCCCAGAGACTGAAATATTTTACGTTATGTTGTCAAAGTATTGGTTTTTCAATATTTGTCAGGTTGACAGACAGTTAATTTGAACAGTATAATAATTCGGATCAAACGAGAACAACCTTTGAGATTTCTGGATTGATATAGACTTTTGATTTATGGACTGTGATGGACTAATTTATTTATTTACTTTTAATTTTAACTTTTAGTTATGTGTATTTAGTTCCGTGTATTTGTCATTGTCTATGTGAGATAGAAGAGAGGTCGTGGAGAGGTTGTTTCATATGTGTATATTTATGTTTTGTGTTTGTCTTGTGGTTGTGGTATTATTAAATGCAAATTTTTATTTAGTTTTGTTTGACGCCCAATTGACAGATCTATTTGATTGTACCCCTTACTAAAAGAACCCAGAAGTGAAAATTTCACTTCTTTACATTTGGCATCCACGGTGGGATCTGTCAGTAGGGTTTATACTAGTTGACTGAAATTCAACTTTGTCATGGACATGCCTAAGTGGATGTCCGAGTTAGTAGAAAAAATGGGTCTGTTACAGATTGTCTGATCCTGTGGAAGGAAATACAAGCGATGGAGCGCGAAGAACGTGCAGCAGCGCGTGATTTGAAACGTGTCGAGATGGAAAGAGAAATACGCATGCGTGAACTTGAGATTAAGGAGAAAGAGATAGCGGTGCAGCAAGCTCCAGGTGTTGCAGCACCTGTTACTAGCAAAGGAGATCAGAAATATAGTAAGTTACCAAAATTTATTGAAGGTCAAGACCCAGATGTTTTTTTGAAGTCTTTTGAGAAACTAGCAGCCTTGCATAAATGGGCAAAGTATGAATGACCAGTTCGTATTGTGCCATTATTGAGTGGTAAGGCATTAGAGGCATACTCTCGTTTAAGTGATGCTGATGGTGGTAATTATGACAAGATTAAAGATGCAATTCTAAAAAGGTATGAGTTAACTGCAGAAGCCTACAGGGGAAAATTTCGGTCTGCTATTCAGGAAAAAGACGAGTCATTTAGAGAATTCAGGGTTAAGCTAGAAAGGTATTTAGAACATTGGTGTGACCGTGAGAGTGTTGGTAACAGTCATGAAAAACTGTTGGATTTGATGTTGCGTGAGCAATTACTCCAAACTTGTAGTAAGGATTTAAGGCTTTGGGTTAATGAACACATGCCTAAATCTGCTCATTAAGTTGTTGATTTAGCTGAATCCTATCAAGTGGCTCACAAGATTGAGAGTCTTGTATCAGATGGTACTTTCGAGATGAAACCTCAATCAGGTAATAATGGTGGTCAAACCAGAGGCTTACAGAGGGAATTAGGAAAGGGTAAGGATTTCAGTAAACCTAAAACTTGTTACATTTGTCATAAACAAGGACATTTAAGTTATGATTGCACTGAAAAGAAAGGTACGGAAAAAGATAAGAATGAAGATGAGTAATCAGCAAGTGGAGTCTGACACTACAGGAATTAAAATTTAGAATTTTGTATGTGTCTGGTAAGTTGAACATTGTGGCAGATGCGTTGTCCAGGTTGGAGGAATAGAAGTCCCCTAAAATACTCTAGGTAGTGTGTATAGTTGTATATATGTTTATGCATGTTGTTCTTGGCAGTTATGAGATTCTGTCTAAATGATGTAGACAGGTGAGTTATTTTGTATCGGGTATGTCAGTGAGTGTTTGGGTTGGACAAAAATGTTATTTTGTCTCCTTAGTGGGGAGGATTGTAAAGTTTTTGAGTTATCCTTCTTTGAGTGTTACCTGGATTTAAATCTTAGTGATTTATAAATAGAACAAAAGTAATCAAGTTTGACAAACAGGTAATGTGAAGGTGAAAAACTGGTTAGGCAGGTTAATTTAGAAACACTAGTCTTGAGATAGGGTGTTGTCAGTATAACGCCTGGACAGTGTTGAAGTCAGATGTTGAGAACTGACTGGAACTTGGAGTTGGAGTTTGACTATTGTCAGGGCAGATATTATATCAGGAATGATCAGTTCAGGAGAATTCATTAATATTTTGTCCATCAGGACAATAAAGAACTCCCAGGTAGGTTTTGTCACACAAACACACTATGCCCCGCCCTTATGTCTCTTGTTTCAAATATTCGCACGAGATATCAAATTTTGTTTGTCATATTGTAATTGTGGCGTGCACGGTTGTCAAATAATTATGTTTTGGCGGTTTTATTCGGGATTAAATAGGTCTGTTACTTAAAACTTTGTTTTGTTTCTTTCCCAGGGGACTTGTTGAGTTATGGAAGTATTTTAGACCATTAAAAGAAATGAGTGATAAGTAAAATGAGACAATTTCCTGTATATAAACTTGAATCTCAGATGAGGATAAATATATACTGTGTGTATTGTTTACATTTGATAGTTTAAATGGAACAGATAGTTTTCAAGTAATAAGTATTACAACAACCTGAACGTCTGTGAGGTAAAATAGTTCGTCAGTGAATTTGTTTCGGGACAATTACAATTTAAAAGATAGCAGAAACTTGTTTGACAGTTTGTCCCAGAGACTGAAATATTTAACGTTATGTTGTCAAAGTATTGGTTTTTCAATATTTGTCAAGTTGACAGACAGTAAATTTGAACAGTATAATAATTCGGATCAAACGAGAACAACCTTTGAGATTTCTGGATTGATATAGACTTGTGATTTATAGACTGTGATGGACTAATTTATTTATTTACTTTTAATTTTAACTTTTAGTTATGTGTATTTAGTTCCGTGTATTTTTCATTGTCTATGTGAGATAGAAGAGAGGTCGTGGAGAGGTTGTTTCATATGTGTATATTTATGTTTTGTGTTTGTCTTGTGGTTGTGGTATTATTAAATGCAAATTTTTATTTAGTTTTGTTGACGCCCAATTGACAGATCTATTTGATTGTCCCCTTTACTAAAAGAACCCAGAGGTGAAAATTTCACTTCTTTACAACATGTCATATGGATGCATGGATTCAATCAAATTTTTGGAACCTCGTAATTAATCGTAATTACGAAACATACTGAAATATCAGGATGTGTACTTAATTGTCAAGGAAATGACATTTATCGACCATGTCACTGATGTCAATGAGTTTTGCTGCTTTAAAACATATAAAATGAAAGAAACGAAAACCCCGCAACAGTTTTCACGAAAAAAAATTAAAAAAAATTAAGTGAAGATTAAAAATACTCGCAAGCCATGAACATTCTAGTTTTAGTTACAATCAATTTAAAAAGTAAGATTTTTATTCGTGAGAGGGCCGTTGGCTAAATATGCATAACTGTTACATACATGCTAGGCTTGAAAATCATAAAAAGGGCTTTAATCGGAAAAAAATATCATATTTGGCATAATGAAATAGCGCATAGGCAATCATATCATATCTTCTTATTTTGATATTTGCTTGAATAACAATAAATTCCATGTGTAAAGAAAAAAACCCGGTTGTATTCTGCATCTGTAATTGAGGTCTATTGCTAAATTTGACAAATATTTTAATTGATTCATTGTTTTCTGAAAGTCCAATGGCAAATATATATTCCGCTCAATTCAACAAGAAACAAGTCATTCCTAAAAAAAAATTCTGTCAGACGTCAGAGCAATCTCGGACTAGTTTGACGTACGGTTGAAGGGTTGCTTTTAACTTTTGAATTATTATAGAAGGTGTAACAATTCATCTGTCTTGTACGTGCGTGTAATTATTAACCTCTTTTAGTAAATTTGATAAATACGTTAATAACATTTTTCAACATTGAGACGATAGAGAAAACCATAAATATACTTGTAACATTCGATAAAAATGTACAACCTTTACAACCTTTAACTTAATTTTAGATATCCTTCGCCATCTAACACACTACATGTACACGCGCATCACATTATTTTGCGCAAACACCCAACTTCAGGTACATGTAATGGTTAATACCGGATATTTCCCGATTTCCAAGTTCCAATGATTAAAACATATTAAACAAAACTAAAAATAATCTTGCCCTCTTTCCGAATGCAGTTAATTTTCTTGTGTCATTTTGTTAAATACGGACCAATGTTTTTTTTTTTAGATATTTTCAGCTTTTGCCCTCATTTTTTGAACGGAAACAGGTGTCATTATTCATGTGGCGATTCACAAATAACGACGGGAGTTTCCATGTTTTATTTATTTTGGTAGATAGATAAGACACTCAATATCAAATCACGTGACAAGACCATCTTCAGTAAACAGAACAGGCGAAGGCGGGTCGCAGATACCCCAAAAAGGAGTTATCACGTACTTGACAAACTGAGTCGGAACCTTTTATTTTCTAAAAGAAATCAGTGGGATGCGAATGTGCTAATATTTCGTTGGAGTTCCTGATAATATAATACTTCCATGCTCTGACTGAGGCTAACAGTTAAACTTTGAAATTCCTTGATCATATATCAATAAGTAACTTAGCTCCATTTTACAAATTTCAAATGAAATATTTAAATGAAAATGAAACTGATTTATTTAATCATTGTAATAACTTTGTAAAATTGAACCGGTTTTTACGTTTCTACATCGTGCAATGTATGTCAAATATTGCAATTTACACATTCATTTTCAAATTTAAATCCTGCAATCAGCCAACTATTTCATAAATAACAGGTATGCAAATATTTTTATTTTGGGTGTTTGACGTCCTACGCAACACCTAAATGCTCAAGTATGTTTGGGGGTATATACCTTTTCGCTGCTGTATATTCACTGGTATATGTACATATAAAGTCCCCTGCTATCCTGCCTCTATGTTGAGCGAACAATTTGTTGAAATTATTGTTTACGTAACAGTTCATTTTGAGGTCCTCTTCGCGGTTCTCGTTTAAGTCATGTTGATTTCTTAAAAAAAGGACCCGACAACATTTTAGTACAAAAAAAGCAACAAAAACAAACAAACAAACCATTGAGCGTCAAGCCTCGCTTTTCTTCGTGTGTCTATAGCTCGATAATGTTTTAATTATTTACGTTAATGTACATACATGTTTGTATATTGAATATATATACATATATAAGATAAACAAATTATTCAGAAATAGTCTACAAAACTAATAAGATTTTATAGAATTTCAGGTGGTCTCATTGGCAATCATACCACTTCTTATTTCTATACAAGGCTGCAAAAAGGCTGGAAGGAGCTTGGAGCTACTATACGTAATTTACCTAGTAACACCATGAGCATTTAAAATGTCATTATGTGCGTGGGAGGGTTCTTAATGTTATTCACACTAGGCTCTTGCAAGGCAGCAGCAATCTGAATGCTGATTTGTCGTGTGTTAATTTTGCTAAAACACCAGATTGTATCTGTTAAACACTGAAGATGTTATTCATTGTTATTTAGAGTGTGATATTAATATAGAATCACGACGAATTGTAAAAGAAACATTTAATGTTTATCAGAATTGACAATCGAAACTATTTTATTTGGAGATGATCTTTGTCTGATAATCAGAATAAAATTATTTTCAAAAACGTTCAACAGAACATCAAACAACAAAACGCGGTTTGATCATAGGAGAATACAGACGATTGTAAAATGATAATTCTATCTGGGTTTTTATGCCCCCGCCGCAGCCGAGGGAGCGTTATGTTTTATCCTTGTCCGTCTGTACATCCTTACGTCCGTACGTCTGTACCTTCGTACGTCCCGAAATTGGTTTCCGTTCTCTAACTTTAGTTTGCCTCAACCAAATGTTATGAAACTTATACACAATGCTTACTACCACAAAACACAGATTTAGTTTGACTTTTGGTGGCGTCACTTTAACCGTTCTAGAGTTATGCCCTTTACAAATGGAAAAATTGCTGAATTTTTCGTTTCCGTTCTCTAACTTAAGTTTGCCTCAATCAAATGTTATTAATCTTATACACAATGCTTATTACCACAAAACTCAGATCAAGTACGAATTTGAGTGGTGTCACTTTTATAACGTTCTATGCAAGCGGGGACATCATCTGTGTCCCATGGACACATTCCCCATTTATTTTCTCTCTTTTCTTGTGTATTTAATTTTTTTTGCATATAAATATGTACATGTATACTGGTGCTGTATGCATATGCAGAAAAATACATCTTTTTTATAAATACCGCAAACATTAATATTAATAAAAGGTTATGAATTATTAATAACCATTAGCAATTAGAGCTAAAGTAAACCAGACATTATTCATACGATCGAATAACCACCAGAAATTGAAATTTTCTCGTTTTCTTATATTTTTTCAGATATTTGACCGGATTTTGTATGGAACAACGGAATTAGATATGGAAAACATAAGTGTAGCAGTACGGAAGGCTGATTTCTACTATCTTGATTCATTCGAGCAATATATATGGCTTGTTCTTATTCAAACAGCATTTCTTACTTATATCCTATCATTCATAAGTTCAATGAATTTTTCAATTGTTCGATCAGTATGATGCAAACCCAAACTACAAAATCAAGCCAACATTCTGCTTTGTGTATTGCTGGTTATAGAAACATTATGTTATGCACAGTTCACCACGACATCTACTGTTATGATGTTAAGCGGGAAAATATGGCTGAATCGAACGACATGTAAATTATATTCGTTTTTAGTGTTAGGTACTATATTCCTTTCGCATAACCTGTTAACCTTAGCAGCGATTGCAAAGTTCACATGTACTGTCTTCCCTTTCAAGTACGAGCGCATTTTTTCTATTGAGAAGACAATAATGTATTTAATCTTATGGTTTATTTTCATAATACTATTCCTGATAATCACATGTGCATTAGCGGATGACATTTCGTTTTCTCCAACGTATTTAGCGTGTTTTTCTAGATCGTAATAATATGAACACGGCAGCGTCATTGTATGGTGTACTAACTGCTATTACTGCTGTATTTCAAGTTGGAATATTTTCTTTTACTATTACCAAACTGAAAAAAAATAAATTCAGTTGTTTATCTAAAATTGTAATCGTAGTCAAAATTTAAAAACAACATTATTTCTACGTATAGGTTAGACAATACTTGGTCTTATTTTTAAGGCAATATTGAACGCCAAAGGCGTAGC